GACGGCCGGATGATCGAGAGGTTAAGGCGGCAGTTTATCGCTCTGGGAAACCGAGGATTGAGTCTGGATGGGTCGAAAAACCCCGGAAATTTTTCAAGGAATGGTCCGCCTTGATACGTCAGGCCCGGATCCTCAACATCCGGTCGCCCCGTTGTGAGCCTTAACGAATCCATAATGGGCTTGCTAAAAAAGCCCTCTTAGTGCCCATAGGGCGGAAAGAGTTATAAAAACCCCTATAAGAATTAACGTTATTTTTACTAAATGAAAATAATATCTTTAAGATTGCTTTTTTATTAATAAAAAAAAACATTTTTATATTTTGTGTTCAAAAAAAGATGGCTAAAGAGCCCGCAAAGAGGCAAAACGGGCCCGCTTTACTCCCGATTACGATGTAAGCTATCCATGGCTCCGATCGCCATCCCACCGCTTTCACTGTAGATCTGGCTGAACTTATGATTAAAAGGCCCTCTTAGTGCCCACAGGACCAAAAACTCAAAACTCAATTAAATATACTTCCGCTCCAGACCAAAAGTCACGTTAATTCAATTCAAAAAATTTTCCCTGAATAAAGTTACATAGATGACTGGTATGACCCTGTTATCTGGAAAAGTATGATGTACAGAAGCAAGACACTACTAATTTGAGGTAAAGAGTATATATTTTATATTAAATAAATTAAAAATATGAATAAAAATTGCAGCTCGGCATTGTGACGATGTCACAATAAATATTTGCTCGTTAGAGATAGTTAATAATGATGAAATCTTACTGTAGATCTAATACTAAAAAATTTGATGTAATTGCATCGATGTTCAAAGTAAAACAAGTTTATGACAATAGGCGAATATTCCGAGATTGACGAAATAGAAATATTGATAATGTAATTTGTTAACTATCAAAGAGAAAGAAACGATAAAGTTGATCTGATATCTTTTGACGTATGAAGATCGGCAATCGTATGACCTGTTAAGGTGCGTGCTTGCAGTTATAATGCAAGCATGAGCATCAACTACCGACAAAATTTCGTGCATGTTATGGACGGGATATGTCGAACTCCGTAATTTCACCTTCCGGATGTCCCACTGTAGATCTATCGGAATGCGGAATAACCAAAAATAAAAACATAAAATGTTATTAAAATACAATGCCAAACCATTAAAAACTAATGGTACCGAATAATTATAATCAGATAAAAAAACAAAAACTTTAGTGTTTTGTATGTAATATTAAAACTTCAAATAAAAATGTTTAAATTTTTATGTTAATGTTATGCATTTCTGTATGTCATGCAAAAAAAGATTAATACCAGTCGACCCCCCTATAACACTGTTGATAATTCCGTTTTATATGAATTCTATGTTGTACGAGTCACTTAGATTTTACAAATACGTGTGTCGAGCTGTGAACGGCTCACGTATTTGTAAAATCTAAGTGACTCGTACAACATGGTATTCATATAAAACGGAATTATCAACAGTGTTTTAGGGGGGTCGACTTGTATATATTCGCATGTTGTATATATGTAGTACGTCAAAAATCAATTAAATGCTAATATTATTCACGTGTATGCATGCAGTATATCTGACAAATAGCTTTCCCAACTTCTGTGAAACATAGTCCCAGTTATCCTAATATTGATATACAGTACTGATAACAATTTTTTATGGCTTATAAAGACTAACTATTTGTATGCATAAAATATGCGATGCATCAGACGATTCACTCAACCGTTATTTCATATGAATTCACACAATTAATAATATAAATAAATTTTATATAATTTTTTTATTAATTAAAAAAAACATTTTTATATTTTGTGTTCAAAAAAAGATGGCTAAAGAGCCCGCAAAGAGGCAAAACGGGCCCGCTTTACTCCCGATTACGATGTAAGCTATCCATGGCTCTGATCGTCATCCCACCGCTTTCACTGTAGATCTGGCTGAACTTATCATTAAAAGGCCCTCTTAGTGCCCACAGGACCAAAAACTCAAAACTCAATTAAATATACTTCCGCTCCAGACCAAAAGTCACGTTAATTCAATTCAAAAAATTTTCCCTGAATAAAGTTACATAGATGACTGGTATGACCCTGTTATCTGGAAAAGTATGATGTACAGAAGCAAGACACTACTAATTTGAGGTAAAGAGTATATATTTTATATTAAATAAATTAAAAATATGAATAAAAATTGCAGCTCGGCATTGTGACGATGTCACAATAAATATTTGCTCGTTAGAGATAGTTAATAATGATGAAATCTTACTGTAGATCTAATACTAAAAAATTTGATGTAATTGCATCGATGTTCAAAGTAAAACAAGTTTATGACAATAGGCGAATATTCCGAGATTGACGANAGACTTCTTTAAATGTATTTTTAATTAATAGATTATCTAACGCACTTAATAAATAAGCAAGTTCAATATAATTACATCTGTTATATTAGATTCAATAGATTCTCTATGCTCTCTAAATGCCAATTCTCGCTTCGATAACATCTACTAATTTAGATATAATATATCTATTAGCCGTAACTTTGATATAATTTTCAATATTTATTTTATATTGTTTACTAATGTTAAATTTTATTCTATTTTGATTACCAAATTGCTTCAATTTTACGAAAGACTCGATGCGAGATTTACGATTTTTGTGTCTTTTGCGAGCTTTACTCAAATTACTTAAATTAAATCGTCAAAGCTATTCTTATTCCACACACTAATTTCATTTGAAAATAATAGGCGAGGCCAACAAAACAATTTTTGCATTTCTATGCATCCACAAAGCCATTTTCTCTTCATAAATTTTATGGTAAAAATGTCGAACAAATTTTTGTTGACGTATTTATATTTAATTTAGGCATTGGTCTTTCTCTTTTAATAATGTTTTCTTTCTCATTATATGGTCTCGAGCCAAAACTTTTTAAAAATAAATTTTCAATATCGCAATTACATTCTAAATCGCTAGCCACGATATAAGGGCTAAAATTAAAAATAAAATTATAAAAACTTACTTGTTAAAATAAAATGTGTGATGGATATACAATTATATATACCTGGTACAAAATATTCTATTGTATGAATATAGTTTTGTGAAGAAACGTACGTGAAAATATCATAAAATATTCTTTACTTTTTAAGTATTAAAATAATCCACTTAGTTAAAATTGCTCCCTACTAGTGGCTCATGGATGGAATCGTAGACGATCTTGGTAGGTGTGGGTTGTTTTAATATTTAAAACACCCTCGGGATTTGGCATGCATGCACGCACGGTGCTGATACCGGTTAATGTCAAATGCTTCTTTTGTCGCATCACTAGTATATCTCAAAGGACAGGGTTGTTGTAAATTTTAAACGTTTCTCACCATAGCTGTAAAAATCTAAATATGTTAAACTTAACAGTCATTTGTTTTCTAACTAATCCGTGGACCAGGTGTCCACGGAAATTTCCAAAATTTACAACTTTTCGGTCACTCTCATCGAACTGGAAAAATTTCTGTCTTTATTACGTCTAATATTACGAAGAAATCAGTCCCCGCTGTACTCGGCTAGAGATTGGTTCGGTTAAGCTTTTGTTTAAATTTAGTTGTAAATGATGCTGACAAAGTAACAGTTAATTTTTTAATATTGTACAAGAATTGTGCACGTTTTTTTCTACATCCCCTTAAAGATGGGACGTACGAAATCGTAATATCACTGGTTTAACATTAAAATTCGTGAGTAATATAAAATGGGAGAGCGGAATAAAAATATCAAATATTTTAATGGATTTTTTTTAAAACTCCTGTCAACTATACAGAACTATCATAAAAACATAACTGTAAATTCTTATCGGTTGGGTTAAGTTATAAATCTACTCTCGATTCGCGTAATCGAGCGAGTACGGCCAAGTATCTAGCGGGCAGGCGACTAACAGCACAGAATCGGTCGTGGATAGAATCGTTGGAAGCGTTATAAGTGTGTAGCTTCCACCAGCTAAACCGGGTGAGGTTGGTGCTCTGTAAAGCGCCTGCACGAATGAGTATAATCTGGCTGTTTGGAAGCTGACAATACAGCGCTTCCATTCCGCCACTAATATAATATTTGAATACACAATAGCAATCTTAACTTTTTTTCACGTGTTAATAGATTTTGTAATAAGATACATAATGCGGTTATAATAAAATATTAATTTTAATTATATTAAAATAATCGCACAATATGTATTTATTTTTTAGAAAATACAAGGGAAGTGGCATTTCCAATGACGGCACACTACTGCATTCTAGTATACAATGCTTTCTATATCTAGCTGAACTATCTATGCAAAGAATACGTTCACTTCTTACTGCTTCTTTGGTATCGCTTATACTTTTAACTATGTTGTAATCATAAAGTATGATTACGCGTTATTTCATAGAGCACAACACTACAATTCGTAACAGTAATTAAAAAATATTTCTCCTGAATACGAGTTTAATATTCTTAGGTAAATTGCAAATGTTTTTCACGCTTTTAGCCAAGTTTTGCTTCATATTTTTCAGCTTGAAATCCCTTAATTCAGACGAAAACTATCACTTAAATCTGTCGGATGATATGGAAGAGCACGAATCCTTATCGCTGAATTTTGGAATTAAAAAAAAAATTTATACTATTATAAATACCATTTAATTTTAAATTATAAGACAATTTCATAATAAATTTCTTTTGTAATTTAATTTTACTTAAAATAACAGCGTATTTAAATCATGTTCCGACATTTAATTACAGTAAACACGTCCGACATTTTAGAGAAGAGAGCGATTTAACGCACTGTACTAAACGTATTTTAATTAAATCACACAATGTATAATTTGTTTAAGGCTCATAAACACTTTTACATAAAGGGCCTTATAACAAAATTGAGCTTAGGGCCTCAAAGGTGCGTAATCGGCTACGCAATACTGCTGTAAAAAAAAAAATACTTTCGTAATAGTTACCTATACGCCGTACAGATGGCGCAATCATATTATAAATACCGTGACCGAAGTCAGGAACTTTGCATCCGTGCATCAGTCATCGTGGTTACTAGGTGAGTTATGTTTGACCGTTTTGTTTGATTATCTTAGCGTTAAAAATATTAAAAAATTGCGAAAATAACATAGATACGGTTTCCGATTATCGTATAAATAACACACTCGTTGATTTTTCTCTCGAAAATATAATTTTATTAATTAAAAGCCGGTTGACCTTGAATGACCTTGATATATTTCATATATTACAATAAACATTAAGTAAATTTCAAGTGGTAAGTAATCTTTTTAAATAAATAAATAAAAATATATAAGTCAGTTAGCAAAATTGACTTTTTATCCTGTAAAATGCTGTTGAACATAACCAATCTGTCATAATTTCCATACATATATGCTTAAGATGAGCAACAAGATTTAAATTAAAGTATATTAAAAAAAATTACATATACTTTAAATCAATTTAAGTCTCATTAACAAAGTTATGTAATAGATAATTTAATTTGCAATTTAAAAAAAAAATGTTTTAAATACTTCTCAAAAGGAAAATTTTTTTTTCTTTCTTATTTTACTTAGGAAATTTTTCCTTTATTTAATGTTCATTTTTGTTAAATAGATTTTTAAAATGATCCTTGTTAGAATTAATATACTATTTAACATTCAAACAATATCCCATTGGGATTCATCCAGATTTAACCTTCAATGACTTTTAGGTCATTGAAGTCAGGATGCTTAAATTCTCTTTTTTAATGCTCGCGAGTCACCTTTCTTCTTCTTCTTTTTTTTTTTAATGAAAATGCACTTGTTGTTGGGATATAATTTCTGAACAAATTATTTATTTTTATTCATTCGATGATATACATTCTGAAGATATATCTACCTTCATTTATATTAATGCGAAGTAAATTTAGAAAATATTTTATCACGTTATTTTGAGTGTTTTATGCATTTTTAATGAATATTGTTTCATAAATTATACGAATATATTTTTTTCTACTTTTAAAAATTAATAGATGTAAGCTATTCTACGAGTCATATATTTTTGTTGGGAAATTGGTGAAAGTTATATAATGATTAATCAATCTTTTGAATTTTTTTTAAGCAATAGCTTTAAATATATAAAATCTTGTAAAATAATTTAAGATCTATTAGAATAAATATTGTAGCTATAAGGACTATGCAGAGTTTCCATTACAGACATTCAGATGGTGTTATTTAAGTGAATGTTTCGACTTGTTTCAACATGTTTGCATTTGATGTCAATTTCAATCAACTTGAATGAAAATTATTGCAACTCATTACTGTTAATTTAAATAAATCTTTGGCTTTATTTTTCAAAAAAACTAATGATGTTGCTATGTGCTCTTTCTATGTAATCAGTGCAAAATTATAGCAGAAGCAACCAGCACCATTTGTGAAACTTACAGTTAATGTTCTATAGCTAAAAGTTTATGCTGAGAGTGATTTTCAGAAATTTAAAGCTAGTGACTTTGATCTAAAGCATTCTGGGAGATGAGTTTGGATAATTTGGAAGGCTTTCATCTAATGAAGTTTGGATCACAAAATGATTAAAGGTTAACCAGAGTACTATCATTTGATGCCTACATGCTGCAGGGAAAAATATAAAAGGAAGGAAGATGAGTTCCTTATGAACAGTCTGCAAATATCATTGCCAGCTGCAGAACACTACACCCAACAATTAAGACATTTGAATGAAAGATTGATGAAAAAGCAATCATATTTTGCAACTAGATGAAATGAGGTTATTCTCTTTCATGGTAATGTTAGGCCCCATGTTACCTTGCAACCTGGGAAAACTAATGGAGCTACAATGGGAAGTTCTTTAACACCTGTTGTACTTTCCAAATGTGTCCCCTTTAGACTACCACTTGTTTCTAAAATTGTATTGGCCCATTTAATAGTTTTTGAAATTCTGAGAAAGTACAATAATGGATCAATGAATTCTTATGTTCTAAGAGCAGAGACTTCTTTTATCATGGTATTCTTCTTTTGCTTGAAAGGTGGCAAAAGGTGATAATGGTGAAAAATATTTTGGTTGAAAATATTGTTTTGCTTGTGAGACACTCATAATGAAAGTTGCCTCTAAAACAATGGAAACATTTTTTACCCATCCCTTATATTTAATATACAGGGTGTCCATAAGTCTCTTTACAACTTAAAACATTTATTGCAAAAGCAATTGATAAGATATCTTAAATCAGACTTGTTCTATTGTACTCAATGGTTTTCAGTTTTTCTACCTCATTTAATGTACCTATATTGGCACCATTAGTCGCACGAAGCACATCAAGGACTTAAGGTCAAGGTATGCATTAATTGATCTCTTGTGGAAGAAAAATGGACAAAAAGTTTGATTGCACATAATGCAATGTGATTAAAAACTTTGAAAAACACTGATCTTAAATCAGACTTGTTCTATTATACTCGGTGTTTTTCAAAGTTTTTAATCACATTGCATTATGTGCAATCAAACTTTTTGTCCATTTTTCTTCCACAAGAGATCAATTAATGCATACCTTGACCTTTTAGTCCTTGATGTGCTTCGTGTGACTAATGGTGCCCATATAGGTGCATTAAATGAGGTAGAAAAACTGAAAACCATTGAGTGCAATAGAACAAGTCTGATTTAAGATATCTTATCAATTGCTTTTGCAATAAATTTTTTAAGTTGTAAAGAGACTTTATGGCAGGGCTGTGGAGTTGGAGTCGTGGAGTTTTGGTGTTTTAGCTGGAGTTGGATTGGTAAGGAAAAGACGGAGTTGGAGTCGGTAGATTTTTACGCGACTCCACAGCCCTGCTTTATGGACACCCTGTATAACAACAAAAATTTGTAGGACTACAGTCATTCTGTCCTTAATCTGAAATGGTGTTAGATAGATGAAAGTCCAGACCAGATGTGGAAGTGCATATAAAGTAAATTGGGGCCTATTACCCCAATTAACTATATACATACTTCCAGTCTGGACCAGAAGTTACGTGAATTCAATTAAAAATTTTCCCCTGAATGCAGTTACATAGATGATTGACAAGACCCTGTTATCAGGAAAAGTATGATATATAGAGGCAAGACATTACTAATTTGAGATGGAAAACATACATTTTAAATTAAATAAATTAAGAATATGATCAAAAATTGCAGCCTGGTATTGTGATGATATCACAATAAATAATTGCTTGTATTGTTTAAATTTTTGTCATATGTATTCAAAAATTTGCCTTTTGCTGAAAATTTTAAAATTCTTTTAGCATTTTCCTTGCTTGTACATCTGTTGTTCCTCTAAATAATTTTAAGAAAAATGCCTATCTCAAAGATTTTTGCAAGACAAATATTTGACAGCAGAGGCAATCCAACTGTAGAGGTAGACTTAACCACTGAAAAAGGTAATGTTGATTTTTTGAAAATTGGAATATAATTATCCAAAACTGCTAAATTCTAAAACTGTAAATATTAAAGGTTTATTTAGAGCTGCTGTTCCCAGTGGAGCATCTACAGGTATTCATGAAGCATTGGAAATGAGAGATGGAGACAAAAGTGCTTACATGGGTAAAGGTGTGAAAAATGCTGTAAATAATGTAAACAATGTCATTGCTCCTGCTGTAGTAGGAAAGGTATGAAAAGTATGCTTTTATCAATGAATATCAGTGTTTTTGAATTCATTATTTTGATTATTTCTTAGCAATTTGATCCAGTAAAACAAACAGAAATTGATGAATTCATGATTGCACTGGATGGCACAGAGAATAAATGTAAGTTATTTTAGTTAATGAATTTTTTTAATAATTTTTTTATATAAAACTTTTTTTTTTATATCAGCAAAATTAGGAGCAAATGCAATTTTGGGTGTTTCTCTAGCTGTATGCAAAGCAGGAGCTGCTCATAAGGTATTTTTTAATTACTGATATTTAAAACTAAATAATGCAACATTGCATATAAATAAATACTTTTCTTTAGGGTGTGTCACTTTATAAGCACATTGCTGATTTATCAGGAAATACCAATATTGTGCTTCCTGTACCAGCATTTAATGTTATTAACGGAGGAAGTCATGCCGGGAACAAATTAGCTATGCAGGAATTTATGATCTTGCCTACTGGTGCATCATCTTTTACTGAGGCCATGAAGATGGGTTCTGAAGTTTATCATCATCTGAAGGGAGTTATAAAAAAGAAGCAAGTTTTTATCTTTTAACATCATCACATTAATATCCTTGTCATTAGAAATAATAAATATATATATTATTTTTTTTATAGGTTTGGTTTAGATGCAACTAGTGTAGGAGATGAAGGTGGATTTGCTCCAAATATTCAAGATAACAAAGAAGGCTTAGAACTGATCAAGGAAGCCATTAATTTAGCTGGATATACTGGAAAAATTGAAATTGGAATGGATGTTGCAGCATCAGAATTTCACAAGAGTGGAAAATATGATCTTGACTTTAAAAATCCAAAATCTGATCCATCAGCTTTCATCACACCTGACCAATTAGGAGATATTTACATGGATTTCATCAAAAACTATCCAGTAGTCAGTATTGAGGATCCCTTTGACCAAGATGACTGGGATGCATGGACTAAATTAAGTTCTAATGTTCAAATTCAAATCGTTGGGTAAGTATGAAATATCATTCATTACAAAATTTTTTTGAAATGTGCTTATATTTGACTTTTGTTTTTTAACAGTGATGACTTGACTGTAACTAATCCTAAACGTATTCAGATGGCTGTAGATAAAAAAGCCTGCAATTGTCTGTTGTTGAAAGTAAATCAAATTGGAAGTGTCACTGAATCCATTAAAGCGTAAGTATGTGTTCTCAAAATGATTTAACTTTAGTTTACAATATACTAATTTTGAATTTCCTTAATAGTCATAATTTAGCAAAGGCTAATGGATGGGGCACGATGGTATCGCACCGCAGTGGTGAAACTGAAGATTCAACTATTGCAGACTTGGTGGTTGGTCTAGGCACTGGCCAGATAAAAACGGGTGCACCTTGTCGTTCCGAACGTCTCTGCAAATATAACCAAATTCTTCGCATCGAGGAAGAACTAGGATCTGCTGCAAAATATGCAGGCAAAAATTTCCGATGCCCAAAATAAAAATAAAAATTTTGTTACTAAATGTTCCTAATAGATCTCTATGAAATGTAAAGATATCAAATATTAGTGGATTGTTTCCAAAAATCTAAATATTGTTATTCAAGCACTTGGTTCATGTTAAAATAAAATTATGGTTTAAATGTGAATTTTTATTTAAATCAATTCAGAGTTCTTGTTTTAATCACTTTCATCACTGCTAAATGAAAGAATTGGTTTATGAACTTTCTTTCTTGAACTTTTTCTGGTACTTTTGCCATATGTCTTGGTCTTGTTTTGAATTCCTGAAAATATAAACTTGAAGTCAGAACCTTTTAAAACATTCAAAAGTTATTTAACAAAGTTGCTTATAGAAATAATTGATGAAATACCCCATACTTGATCATTTTTCCTCCAGTTAACTAGCAGTAGTCCCCCTTTACTTCAATTAGTAGAAACTAGAGATGTGAAATAATTGAAGTAAAGGGGGACTACTTCTACTTATTTTAAGTCAGTAGTTTCTACTATTATTTCAATTTGAAAATATGAAATTTATCATGCTACTCGGTATACAATTTTAAATCTTACACCATATCCACACTGTATATGCTACCTGCTCATTACTTGGTACAGTCTCCATTTTTAATTTTATTTAGGTTTTTTTGGCATGAATTTTTTCAAATGTAAAATGATGCTGCAGATGGCACCATATTTTTAAAAAAGTGAAGAAAAACGTGTTAACCCTTTTTGTTCCACAGAAACTCAGATTGCAAGTTTCAACTCTCTTATAATTTTAAGCCAAAAGGATATATCACAAAAAAAATGTAAAAAGCACCCCAAACCAAATTTTTTTTTTTCATTATTTGACTAAACTCATAATCATTATATAAAAGCATGTTTTTCTCAAATTAACTACAACGGCTTTCAGTTTGATAATTTTGCATCCAAATATAGAATTTTCTTGAATCTTAGAAAATAGGCCACTTTTTTTCAAAAGAAAACTGGTATAGCAATTATAGAGCAGAGGTCAGCAAAGCAATGGCTCGACATGCCAATCTTTTATAAGCTGCATAAGGTATTGAGAGATAATGCTAAACGGAACTGTGCCAATATATTCTTGAAAAAGAGCTGACAATAAGACAATGATTCAGATTTTGTCAAAATATATTCTCAGAGATTTTTGATCTATTCCAAAGAATTATAAACAGGATAAATTAGCTCATAATATTCAGCAAAAACATTTGGACTCAAATTTTCTAACAATTTTTCTTTTGTTCTTAATATTCAAATCACAACAAAAAAAAATTTTTTTAGAAAAAATTGCGCTATGATCATTTCCTAACAGGATACTATATATCATTGTCATGCCTGTGAAATGTGTGGACAAAGCTACTTCATAATTTTTTTTAAGATTACTGAGATATGTAAAAATGATAAACCTCTAGAATTTATTCAGTACTAGCAGACCCCGCCACGCCTTGTTGCAGCTCAAAATGTATCTATTAAATTTATAACACTTCCCCTGTGGGGGGGTTTTTTCAAAAAATTTCTTCTTAGTGTACATTCTCTTGACGTACCCTATTAAAACGCAACCAAAAACGCAAAAACCCGCATCTAAAATAGTATAAATAGAAGCAGAGTTCTTTACCATAAGCCTTAATCCTAACCATCTCCCTTCAGTGGAGTTGAATTTCGACATGTATATTATATAAAAATATGTGCGTATTCGAATGCAGCGTTGTGTCAAAATTTCAANTGATCTCGAGCCAAAACTTTTTAAAAATAAATTTTCAATATCGCAATTACATTCTAAATCGCTAGCCACGATATAAGGGCTAAAATTAAAAATAAAATTATAAAAACTTACTTGTTAAAATAAAATGTGTGATGGATATACAATTATATATACCTGGTACAAAATATTCTATTGTATGAATATAGTTTTGTGAAGAAACGTACGTGAAAATATCATAAAATATTCTTTACTTTTTAAGTATTAAAATAATCCACTTAGTTAAAATTGCTCCCTACTAGTGGCTCATGGATGGAATCGTAGACGATCTTGGTAGGTGTGGGTTGTTTTAATATTTAAAACACCCTCGGGATTTGGCATGCATGCACGCACGGTGCTGATACCGGTTAATGTCAAATGCTTCTTTTGTCGCATCACTAGTATATCTCAAAGGACAGGGTTGTTGTAAATTTTAAACGTTTCTCACCATAGCTGTAAAAATCTAAATATGTTAAACTTAACAGTCATTTGTTTTCTAACTAATCCGTGGACCAGGTGTCCACGGAAATTTCCAAAATTTACAACTTTTCGGTCACTCTCATCGAACTGGAAAAATTTCTGTCTTTATTACGTCTAATATTACGAAGAAATCAGTCCCCGCTGTACTCGGCTAGAGATTGGTTCGGTTAAGCTTTTGTTTAAATTTAGTTGTAAATGATGCTGACAAAGTAACAGTTAATTTTTTAATATTGTACAAGAATTGTGCACGTTTTTTTCTACATCCCCTTAAAGATGGGACGTACGAAATCGTAATATCACTGGTTTAACATTAAAATTCGTGAGTAATATAAAATGGGAGAGCGGAATAAAAATATCAAATATTTTAATGGATTTTTTTTAAAACTCCTGTCAACTATACAGAACTATCATAAAAACATAACTGTAAATTCTTATCGGTTGGGTTAAGTTATAAATCTACTCTCGATTCGCGTAATCGAGCGAGTACGGCCAAGTATCTAGCGGGCAGGCGACTAACAGCACAGAATCGGTCGTGGATAGAATCGTTGGAAGCGTTATAAGTGTGTAGCTTCCACCAGCTAAACCGGGTGAGGTTGGTGCTCTGTAAAGCGCCTGCACGAATGAGTATAATCTGGCTGTTTGGAAGCTGACAATACAGCGCTTCCATTCCGCCACTAATATAATATTTGAATACACAATAGCAATCTTAACTTTTTTTCACGTGTTGTATAGATTTTGTAATAAGATACATAATGCGGTTATAATAAAATATTAATTTTAATTATATTAAAATAATCGCACAATATGTATTTATTTTTTAGAAAATACAAGGGAAGTGGCATTTCCAATGACGGCACACTACTGCATTCTAGTATACAATGCTTTCTATATCTAGCTGAACTATCTATGCAAAGAATACGTTCACTTCTTACTGCTTCTTTGGTATCGCTTATACTTTTAACTATGTTGTAATCATAAAGTATGATTACGCGTTATTTCATAGAGCACAACACTACAATTCGTAACAGTAATTAAAAAATATTTCTCCTGAATACGAGTTTAATATTCTTAGGTAAATTGCAAATGTTTTTCACGCTTTTAGCCAAGTTTTGCTTCATATTTTTCAGCTTGAAATCCCTTAATTCAGACGAAAACTATCACTTAAATCTGTCGGATGATATGGAAGAGCACGAATCCTTATCGCTGAATTTTGGAATTAAAAAAAAAATTTATACTATTATAAATACCATTTAATTTTAAATTATAAGACAATTTCATAATAAATTTCTTTTGTAATTTAATTTTACTTAAAATAACAGCGTATTTAAATCATGTTCCGACATTTAATTACAGTAAACACGTCCGACATTTTAGAGAAGAGAGCGATTTAACGCACTGTACTAAACGTATTTTAATTAAATCACACAATGTATAATTTGTTTAAGGCTCATAAACACTTTTACATAAAGGGCCTTATAACAAAATTGAGCTTAGGGCCTCAAAGGTGCGTAATCGGCTACGCAATACTGCTGTAAAAAAAAAAATACTTTCGTAATAGTTACCTATACGCCGTACAGATGGCGCAATCATATTATAAATACCGTGACCGAAGTCAGGAACTTTGCATCCGTGCATCAGTCATCGTGGTTACTAGGTGAGTTATGTTTGACCGTTTTGTTTGATTATCTTAGCGTTAAAAATATTAAAAAATTGCGAAAATAACATAGATACGGTTTCCGATTATCGTATAAATAACACACTCGTTGATTTTTCTCTCGAAAATATAATTTTATTAATTAAAAGCCGGTTGACCTTGAATGACCTTGATATATTTCATATATTACAATAAACATTAAGTAAATTTCAAGTGGTAAGTAATCTTTTTAAATAAATAAATAAAAATATATAAGTCAGTTAGCAAAATTGACTTTTTATCCTGTAAAATGCTGTTGAACATAACCAATCTGTCATAATTTCCATACATATATGCTTAAGATGAGCAACAAGATTTAAATTAAAGTATATTAAAAAAAATTACATATACTTTAAATCAATTTAAGTCTCATTAACAAAGTTATGTAATAGATAATTTAATTTGCAATTTAAAAAAAAAATGTTTTAAATACTTCTCAAAAGGAAAATTTTTTTTTCTTTCTTATTTTACTTAGGAAATTTTTCCTTTATTTAATGTTCATTTTTGTTAAATAGATTTTTAAAATGATCCTTGTTAGAATTAATATACTATTTAACATTCAAACAATATCCCATTGGGATTCATCCAGATTTAACCTTCAATGACTTTTAGGTCATTGAAGTCAGGATGCTTAAATTCTCTTTTTTAATGCTCGCGAGTCACCTTTCTTCTTCTTCTTTTTTTTTTTAATGAAAATGCACTTGTTGTTGGGATATAATTTCTGAACAAATTATTTATTTTTATTCATTCGATGATATACATTCTGAAGATATATCGATCTTCATTTATATTAATGCGAAGTAAATTTAGAAAATATTTTATCACGTTATTTTGAGTGTTTTATCCATTTTTAATGAATATTGTTTCATAAATTATATGAATATATTTTTTTCTACTTTTAAAAATTAATAGATGTATTCTACGAGTCATATATTTTTGTTGGGAAATTGGTGAAAGTTATATAATGATTAATCAATCTTTTGAATTTTTTTTTTAAGCAATAGCTTTAAATTTAAAAAATATCTTAAAAAATAATTTAAGATCTATTAGAATAAATATTGTAGCTATAAGGACTATGCAGAGTTTCCATTACAGACATTCAGATGGTGTTATTTAAGTGAATGTTTCGACTTGTTTCAACATGTTTGCATTTGATGTCAATTTCAATCAACTTGAATGAAAATTATTGCAACTCATTACTGTTAATTTAAATAAATCTTTGGCTTTATTTTTCAAAAAAACTAATGATGTTGCTATGTGCTCTTTCTATGTAATCAGTGCAAAATTATAGCAGAAGCAACCAGCATCATTTGTGAAACTTACAGTTAATGTTCTATAGCTAAAAGTTTATGCTGAGAGTG